TTCTCCTTATACCTGTGTCACAGAATCAGCACAGACCTGCAACAGCCCATTCCTTGTCCACACCACTCAAGAAAATGCCCAAGAATCTGGATTCCATGGGGGAGAGGCTTCCAGACTGTGAGCGGTGAGAGTAGAGTGAAGTGCTAGAAGTTCAGAATTTCAGGTAGAGAATATATACAGTTTTATACAGTTTTGTGCCTGGTGGGAGAGTGCCTTGGCATCCTAGCAGTGGAAGGAGGTCTGATTTTTAGAGGGTCTCTCCTGTGGAATAAAAGGGAGGATATCTGCACTCTGCTAACTTGTTTGTAGAAAGTATACTGCGAGCTGTTCTCATGGGGGAGGGGACTCCCGTACGATTGGCGATGGACTTTGTACCTATTGTTTGTTTCCTTGGGGTCACAGCTCATCTCAGCAGGGTTGATGTGTGTTCTTCAACCTTCTCTCTTGGCTCAGATTCAAACCATCAGCTTACTTGCTAAAATTCTGTCATTTAACTATCCTTCTGGATGGGAGCTTCTGTGGAAAGCTGGCTCCATTGGCCATCTTGCCTCTGCTCCCCTTCTGTTGTTACTTTCTCAGGCAAATTCCCAATTTGCATATGAGATTATTTCTGGGTAAATCAACTTTTCATTACTCACTGCAGAAGGAGTCATTCCTTTTCAGCCTCCTGAGGATCCCTTAAGCCAGAAGTAAGAGAGAGGTCCCCACAGGAATGGGGATCAATTTAAGTCAAATGGCCTGGCATGACCCTGGTGGTTCTTACCCCTCTCAGATATGGGCTGGAACTGGATGTAACAAGAATATGGGGGGGGGGATATTAGTTTTGAATTCACTTAATTGATGTTTATGTAACTAGTTTACATAAGGAAGATTCTAGTTACTGTGTTAAGCATGATGGTTTAATAGGCAATGCAGTTTATTTTGTTTAAAATTAAAAAAGAAAGCTTTTTTTCCCTCCTTATGATAAGAATCATTGTAAAATATGAGGCAAGACAGGATGAAACATGAATCCCTGTATCCCAGGACCCAGGGAAAAGCTTCGTTCTGGTTATATATTGCTGTGTAACAAACCACTCAAAATTGTAGGTATTTAAAACAGTAACAATCAGCTGATGATTATCTGTCAGGTTCAAGGACTTGACTGGGCTCAGCTAGGCAGTTTCACTTATAATATCATGTGTTTGCAGTAAAGGCTACTGTAAGGTTGGACTCACCTGTATGCTCATTCATTCACATGTTGAGTGACTGGCTGAGACTCAAAGACTTGTAGCCAGAGCAGATGGGCTCCTTGGACACCTCTTTCTAATTCTATGTAGTCTCAGTATAGTGGCTTCAGGGTAGTGGGACTTCTTCCATGGTAACACAGAGTTCCTCAGGTGCACGGAGAGAGAGAGAGAAGAGAGAGACAACCAGGTGAGACCCTGTCCTAGTCTACCTGGGATGCTATAACAAATCACTATTTATTGATTTATTGCATGACTTAAGCAACAAACCTTTATTTCTCACAGTTCTGGAGGCTAGAAGTCTGAGATCAGGGTGTCAACTGGTATGGTCAGGTTCCGATGTGGACCCTGTGGGGCATAGATTGCCAATTTCTGGTTATGTTCTCATGTGGCAGAAATAGCTCACTGAGGACACATATCAAGGCACTAATAATTCATGAGGTCTCCACCCTCATGACCTACTGATGTTGCAAAGGCCCCACCTCCTACACCAGAACATTGGGGTTTACAATTTCAATGTATGAGTGTGTGTGTTTGTGGGGGGAGGACACAAACATTCCATCCATAACAAAACTGTAATGGCTCTTCTAAGACAGTCTCAGAAATCATGCAATGTAACTTTTGGGGTATCTATTAGCTAAGCAGTCCTCAAGGCCAGGTTCAAAGGGGAAGGACATAGACTCTAACTCTTGATGGGGTAAGTGACAGAGTTCTTCAAGAGCATGTGATATGAAAAATGTTGTGGCTAGTTTTGGGAAATACAATCTTCCTCAGCCACTTAATACTTCTCTAGTATCTCTTTATGCATATTCTATTTTTTGCACACTTTTTTTTTTTTTTACTAATACATGCTGTTATAAAACCTTTGTATTAGAACAACTGCTATGTTACAGAAAAAGAAATTGAGATTAGTAACACGGCTTGCCACACAGTGAGTTAGCCACAGAGTTGCCCAGCCTCTAAGGCTCTTGAAATCTAAGACTCTGTACTGTTCTGTGTGGAATAATGAAAGGAGAACTCTGTGATGGTCTCTGTTGAAGCTATGGAGAGAACAGGGTGGACACTGAGGTATTTGAGTAAGTCAGGACTATGAAGAGGTTTGTTTGGTAGTACATACAAAAGCAAGTGGGTTTTACACTCATAATGGAAACTCACATGCATGTAGCTGAGTATACGTTTCTTCTGAAGGAGGTTGGATGATTCTAAGTTTAGAGAAGATTGGAAGTCAGCTTAGACTGGGGACAAATAAACCTAGTTGGTCAGGGCGGGTGGATTGGAATTGGAAGCCAGGAGAGTGAGTGGTTTGTTTGCAGTGTCCACTATCTATGAGGAACCACGCTGGTGGTTTAATGTATCATACTTGTTTATTTAGCCTCAAATAGGTCTGGGATGCTGGGATTATTATTCCCAATTTACAGCCAAGGAGATGAGTTTCAATGCTTAAATAACTTCCCTTAGATCACACAAGGGG